CCTTCTTCCTGGCATCATCGTTGGGGAGCCCGAGCTTGGCGTAGTAGCGTCGGAGCATAGTGCATTCTTCAAGGGCATGCTTCATAGGGCCCTGGTGGTAAGGGCAGGGCTTCTTAAGCATATCGTCGAATACTCTGGGGCCCCTACCGGGGCCTCGAAGATTCTTGCGATCCGCGGCTGCGACGAAATTGGCTTCGAGGGCCTCTTGCTTCCCCGGGTGTCCCTTTTTCTTTTTCTTGGGGAAATGGGAGGCCGAGGCCCCTGGGGCCTAGTCCCTCCACTTCCCCTTTGTGTCGCCTTCGGGGAAGATGGCCCCGATGACCTCTTCACCCAAGGCGAAGTTGGTGGCGATGTCGAGGAGCGCGGCCGCTGAGGTTGGTACGTTTTGGCCCAACTCTCGGACTAGGTCTCGGCAAGACGTGCCGGAGAGGAAAGCCTGGACCACTTCCGAGTCGCCGACGCTGGGCAACTCAGTACACTGCTTGGAGAATCACCGGATGAAGTCTCGGAGAGACTTGTTCGGCTTTTGACGACAACTCTTGAGGTCCCAGGAGTTCCCGGGGCGCACATATGTGCCCTAGAAATTCCCAACGAAGATCTTTACCAAGTCGCGCCAGTTGTGGATCTGCAAGGGAGGGAGGTGTTCGAGCTAGGCTCGCACCGAGTCTGATAGGAATAAGGGGAGGTTGCGGATGATGAGCAGGTCATCGTTCGCGCCGCCTAACTGACAAGCCAGGCGGTAATCGGCCAGCCACAACTCGGGGTTGGTCTCGCCGCTATACTTTGCGAGGTTGGCCGGTTGCAGAAATCGGGCGGGGAACGGGGCACCGTGGATGGCCTTGCTAAAGACTCGAGGGCCAGGTGGCCCAGGAGAAGGACTGCGGTCCTCGCCACTATCGTAGCGGCCGCCTCGGTGCGGGTGGTAGCCTCGGGCGGGCCCATCGTCGTCGTGGCGTCGTCGCCTGCTGACCACATCGTTGTCATCTTGCGCCTCGCGTTGGTCGTAGAGGCGGTCATGCACTGAGGGGACCCTGAGGCGGTCGTGCACTGAGGGGACCCTGAGGCGGTCGTGCATTGAGGGCCGTTTCGAGGTGTCCTCACACCGTCGAGACGCGGAGCTTTTGGCCTGCTGTACCGCGGCGGTCTCGAGAAGGTCTCGGAGCTCACTGTGAACCCGTCGCCCCTCCGTGGTAGAGGGCTCGAGCATCGCCCGGACTAGCATTGCCGCTGCCGCGACGTTATGGCTAGCGCGATTGAAGATTGGGGGTTGCTCACTCTCCTCGTCGTTGTTGATGCGGCGGTGTACGTCGTGGGCCCTTCGCCGGGCTCTTCCGCCATCACCGCGACCCTACTGCTCCTGCTTGAGAGTGTCTCAGAGCTGCTGCTGCAGGAGTCGGTCTTGGTCGATCTTTGCCTGGAGCTCACGGAGCTGCTCCAGGTCTAGGCGTCGGAGTTCCTCGGGGGAGGTGTGCACGTTCCGTGCTGCCCGAAGCTCGACGAGCGGGGGTGTGGCGTCACCTGCCCTTTGTCGGAGCGAGGAGCGGTTGCCTTCCCCTTCATTCTCATTATTTTCCCCTGGCATTCCGAGCCCAATGTGGAAGCATTCTCGAGTGGGATCGTAAGTGCCTTCGTCATCGAAGTCGGAGCAGCCGAAGCAGTAGTCGCTTGGGGCCAAAAAGCGGCGCATAGCCTCAAGGTCGCGAAGCCCGGAGAAGTCAGCTCCGGCCCACGTCTTGTCCTCTTTCGAGGAGTCAGTGTGGGTGTGGGTCGAGCTTGCGGTGGAAAAGTCGAGGGCGAATCGTTGGTGGCGTCCCGAGGGCTCCACGTGAGCGGAAGCGTAGGTGGCGGCGGCGTTTCTCAACCCAAAAGGGTATGGAGACGGGGCCATCGCCGGGCCCTGCTCCGCCGTAGTTGGCTCCTCAGGTGGTGGCGGTGGGGAACTTGACGACGGGGCGTCGCTGCGCATCACCGGTGTCTTTCCCCTACCCAAGCTTAGGCCAGACAGGTCCCCAACCAGGGACCTCGTACCAACAACCGGGCATGGGATACCGGCGGAGCGTGGCGTGTCGCCCTGAGGTCGTGCGGTGTCGGGGTGGTCGCGCTCGCGCCGTGACTAGCGAGCGCGACGAGAGCGGTGGCCCGGACGCCGCCTGCGCCCGGGCTGCTGGTGCGCGACGCCGTCGTCGGCCAAAGGGGCTCTGGGTGGGAGGAGTACTAGGTCGTACTCACGTCCTAGAGATATAAACTCTAGGCTCCCGAACCAGATCACCGTGCCGAGACGTAGTGGGCGTATGGGATCAGCCATCCGGAACTTGTTGGGACGATCAAGCTAACACGCAGAGGCCCCTACCTAGCGCGCCAACTGTCGGTGTTTCGGACCGGGGGGGTCCTCAACCAACCAGTGAATTTGAACTGCATGCCCCTAATTCCAGATGGTGATGCAAAGAGACACAAGGTTTATACTGGTTCAGGCAATTGGCGCCCTACGTCCAGTCCGAGAGATCGATCTTGTATTCCTTTCACCGAAGTGCTTGTGGTAGGGGGTTACAAGCTATGTGAGAGAGGGAGCTAGTCCTAGGTCTCGGCGTGGAACGGTGCGGGCTGCTTGAGACGTTGCTCTCGGGCAGCTTGGGAGAGCGTGTGTTATAGAGTGTTGTTTGTGTGTGAGAGCATGGTTTTTTCATAGTTTTTTTTTGTTCCACCCTAGAGCTATCCCTGGCTGCTTCCTTTTATAACCGCAAGGAGGGAGCCAGGAGTACACGAGTGAGCTACATGTGGAGCCTTCTGTAGTCCAGTCCTATAGCAGCATGGTGTTGGGAATGGCGATCAGTACTTGACTGACGCGCCGTGCTGGCCAGGCTTGAGGTTGTTGAGGTCGTGGGGGTCCTTGTTGATGTCTAGTCAGTATGGCCTCCACGGTAGGAGACATGCCGTGCCTCGTGGATTCTTGATTTGGTGGAGTGCCGAGGCCTAGCGGGTGCTGTAGCTGATCATGCCGAGGCCTGCTTTGCCGAGGCCTCAGAGGTGACCAGTGTATGGTACGGGGGTCTCGGTGGTCCGCGTCGTACCCGGTTCAGGTGGAAAAGCGCGGAGCGGATGTCCACATGGCACAGTAATCCCTGCACCGTCAGTAGGGGATGGAAAAAAGGAGATTTGACCGCCGTCCCATCGCCCCTGTTGTTGTACCCTGCCCATCGTGGCTGACGTAGTAGGTGTGACCAGGTGCACTTACACGGATGGGACGGGTCGCTAGAGGAGCGGTTGAGGCGGAGTCGACGAGGATGTGGGACGAGCCCGGCCTCGGCCGAGGCGGAGAAGGAAAAGTACGTCCGAGGCCCTGCCGGGGGGTCTCGGACGAGGCGGAGGACGAGCAGTTGGTCTTTCCTGCTGTTTCTGAGACTACAGGGACATAGACTTGACCTTCCACGCTGCTTTGTCCTTGGCGCAGGGGTTAGGTAGCACAGGGCAGTACGGGTGTCAGTAGGGGGCACAGTGATGAGCACAGTGGCAGGTAACCCCTGCTACGCCCGGTCCTCTGTCCCGTCAGTCGTTCTGCCCAAACTATGCCAGTGTGCGGCTGACGTTGCGGGAGTAGTTGGGCGCATTAATCTGGACGTGACGTTTTGTCAGAGGAGCCGGTTGGGGTGGAGGTGACGAGGTTGTTGCCGAGCCCGGCCTCGGGCAAATCGGAGAATTGGCATCCCGTCCGAGTCCTTGCGGGGCGGGGCCTCGGCGAGAGGGCCTCGGCGGGGCGGAGGGCTTTGGCCTTTCGTCTGAGGCCTCGGCGCAAGCCTCGGGCGAATCGGAGAATTGGCCGAGACCTCGTGGTTGTCTTTTGGCTTTGATTTTTGCAAGGCTTAAGCAATATTTTCGGTTCTTGCTTAGGGTACCCCTTCTTGTGGTATCCGACAACTGAGGACTTCTATAATTTGTTTTATTATTACTATCAAACACTCCCGTATGACATCCCAATATAACAACTGATATGATATCAATAGACTTTACTACTGGATTTAAACACCACCTTACTATACTAAACGAGGCTGCAGCAGTGCAGCTGCCACTTTTGGAGCTAGTGAGCTACTAGTCCCAGCGTCGTGCTGCTCGAGAGTGGTTCGGGATCTTCGCCGCAGCCGAAGCACGAGCGGCCGCTTTTGGGGCGTGCAAGTGCAACGCAGACACCTCCCAGTCCACTGTCCACCCCCAACCCATCCACAGAACTTTCTGATCCACTACTACCAGTACGCTTGCTTTCAGTTCCAGCCCCCAAACTCGCGAGCACAGGCCCCCGGGATTGCGACATCAGGCGAAAAAACCCCGCTAGATTTGCGTGCCACGGACCGCAGGCCGCACTCCAAGACCAGGAGAGCAACGCCCTATTCTCCCGCACCCAACCCGGCCCGAACCAGCCAACCCACTCCCGTGTTCGCCGCCGCCCCCACCAAATCCGTCGCCCCGCGCCCGCCCCACCACGGGGCGGAGGCGGAGTCCCCGGTCCCCCAGCCCCGAACGCCACTCCCTGTCCCACTCCCGTCTCGCGTCAACGGAACAACCGCCGGGGTGGGGTGTGTGGACTCGTGCGGGGTGACGTCTCGCGCGAGACGACCAAATCCTCTCGGTTCAGTCGCACGCGCTTGGACCTCCTGGACGACCAGCCGCGCCCGTGCCTCCTTTTCTCCGTCCCAGGTCCCAGCCGGCATGAGGCTGCCCTGCTGCTGCGCCGTTATATACGCCAGCTCCCAAACCCGGGTGGCCGGGTCCTCCCGCGCTCGTCTCATCCCCGCAATACACCCGACACCCAACATAACGGCCGTGCGCCGCGCGAAAACATGCACCGCCTCGGCGCCTCCCAAGCCGGGCGCGAATTTTAACCCGTGGCGCTGCCGCTCGCGATCGCCGGCCATGTGCACCCCTCGCTGGGCGCGCTGCGTCTTGCGCCAACGTTGGCGGGCGGGTGTTGAGACGACGGCCGCCACGCTTTCGCTGCTGGGCGGGACACCATGCTGGGCGCCATGCTGGACACCTCCTGGAACGCCTCCCACGACGACGCGGCCGGCGGAGGCGGAGGCGCGGCGGCCGAGTACTTCATCGACCGCGACCCGGCATGCTTAGCGGTGCTGCTGGACCTCCTCCGCACGGGCGGGCTCCACGTGCCCCCCGGCGTCCCCGAGGCGACGCTGTACCGCGAGGCGCTCTACTACGGCCTCCTCGACCGCGTCCGCGCCGCGCGCCTGGGGGACTTCGACGGCGACCGCCTCCGCCTGTCCGCGTCCGTGCCCGGGCGCGCGCCGGGGGACGGCACGGCAGTCCGCGCGGCGCCCGACGGCGGCTGCTGCGTGGCGCACGGCGGCCCCGTGCGCGTGTACAACTGGATGCTCGACGAGCGCCGCCCCGTGTACTACCCCGGCCGCGCGGGAGCGGCCCGGCCGCCGCGGTGACGACGGCGGCGTGGCCGCCTTCTCCGCGCTCACGGGCGGCCTGCGCCACCACTTCCGCGTCGCGCACGATCGCCAGCCCAGGTCGTTCACCGCCGGCGCGCTGGCCGTTGACGACGGAGGAGGCTGCCGCGTCTTCGCGAGCTGCAAGGGCCGGTTCAACGAGTACGGCATCGGCGTCTGGGACGCGAACACGGGCGAGCAGGCTGACTTCTTCTACGAGCCGCCCGGCTGCGCGATGGGCGACGCGGACAGGCTCCAGTGGCTCGACGGCACCAGTACGCTCATGGTGGCCACCATGTTCCCGCGGACCGACTCCTCCTTCATCAGCCTACTCGATTTCCGGGACAAGAGCGTCGTCTGGTCGTGGTCCGACGTCGGCACGCCGGCGTCGCTCGAGGACAAGCACGCCGTCCATGCCGTCGTGATGGAGGACGGGAGGTCCGTGTGCGTGATCAACCAGTACGACAACCTCGGGTTCCTCGACCTCCGGAGCAGCGCCGGCGGCGTGCGATGGCGGTCGCGGAGCAAGGTGGCGACGGGCGGGAAGACGAAGGCGCTCATCAGCGAGGAGGTTTGCTATCCGAAGCTCGCCACGTACGGCGGTCAGCTGTTCGCGTCGACGGGAGACACCGTCTCGGTGTTCAGCGGACCCGACCACGTGCTGACGTCGACGTTGCGCGGCAGCCAAGGCGGCGCCATCTGCGACTTCTCCATCGGCGGCGACCGCCTCTTCGCCCTGCACAGTGAGGAAAACGTTTTCGACGTCTGGGAGACGCCGCCGCCGGCGATCATCTGACTGTCTCACAGGATTAGTCGTGTTACTCTTGCATCGACGGTAAACGAATTAGTGACACAGGTTTCGACAGAAAACACACACACTGTTAACTTTTTCATCACTGTGAATTTTGTGATGACACTCGTTCTGCTTCTAGAAACGAATATGGATAACAGTGGAGCACTGTATTGTCATTCTCGACAAGCACCTTTCTTTTGCATTTCTGTTCCCTCTGATGTTCATTATCACCCAGCCAAAAGATTGCTGCTGCTGATCCTGAACACATCAGCAGGCAATCATGGGTTGTCGAGATCGTTGCGTACCTGATGTTTTGTGTACTGATTAGGAGGTCCCATGGGGCCCTAATCACGTTACATTATGGGAAATGCTGTGTATCTTGCATGGACCGCACAAACTTCGGACGGCTTTTTCACCCTCGCCGTTTGCTTCCGTCCACATGTATATTAAAAAAACTTATCCGTTCGTTTCCTCCTCCCCATTCTTACCCCTTCCGCACTCCTCATCCCCTGCCGCAGCACACCAACGCCCCGCGTCCTTACCGGGAGCCCCCAATGCTCGAAGATCCGGCGGCCCTCAATCCCACCCCGACGAGATCCATGGAGCACGAGCGAGATCCACTCGCCTCCGGTGAGATCCATGGAGGTGGCGCGACAGCGTTACAGGGTAGTAGGCGGTTCTTCCCCATCCCGGTTAGCTGCGCTCCCTACCCCGACGGCACCCTCTGTCACCTCGATGACCGAGCTCCCCCCCACTCTGGAGGCCATGCCGCCGAGCCAATCCCGGTGTAGGTGGCACTGGCGGTGGTGGTGCTCGCACGCGCCACTGGTACTGGTGCTAGGTGGTGCTCGTGCATAGCCACTCATGCTTCGGTGCCCACCCCGTTGGCCGAAATTGACCGGCCTAGGCCTCTCTCCCCCTATGTTGCAAACGTATGTTTCAATTGTTTCAGACGTTTCAAAGGTATGTTGCATTTGTTTCATATGGATGTTGCAAAAGTAGATCGTGGGATGTTGCAAGTGTTTCAGAGGCATGTTGCAAACGTTTGTTCAAATTGTTTCATCTGTTTCCAGACGTATGTCGCAACCGTCTTGATCTGGATGTTGCATATGTTTTCACACATATGTTGAAACAATATGCTTCAAAATATTTCATTTGTTCCAGTCTTCTGTTGCAGCAAGTGTTTTTATGTTGTAAGTTGCCAGTGTTCTTTCTGGATGTTGCTTATGTTTTCACACATATATTGCATGCGTATATTCCAGATGATTTTTATCTGAGGGGGCCGGGGAATGAGGCACGGAGAGCCGGTGGCCGACGGACGTGGTGTGTGGCGCGCTGGGGGCACGACGGGCCAGGGGTGCGCCTGCAGGTGCGGGAGTGCGCCTGCGGGGGCAGGGCAAACAGATGGGGATAGGGGCGCGGTGCGCCTAGTGGCGAACGGATGGGGATGGGGGCGGGCTGCGCGGATGGGGGTGGGTCAAGCATCGGAGCGGGGTTTGTCAAACGTGCGGGCAGGAGCCTGATGGAATTCATCGCGATCGGACGTCCGTACGCTAACATTTCCCTTACATTATACATTATTATTACCATGATGAACTTCACTCAACATGTCCTCCCTTAGAAAAATAGGAGCAAAATTTGGCTCCCTAATTGTCTTTGTCTACCTCCGCAAGGAAAGAAAAAGAAAGCATATCTCTGTCTTTGCTCCAGCAGTGTATTTATCCACTCATCGGCCTGACGATCTCATCTCATCGCCTTTTGTACTTTGTCAAGCTCCCCGCTAAAGAAGTCAGGCTAGATCCACATGAACAATTAATCGTATATAGCCCCCCCGTGTTTATGCTTTTGATGCAACCTTAACTGCTTCTGGAAAGCAATAGCACCCTTATATAACCGTTAAGCAGTGAGCTCAGGGGTCGAGCTCACCGCCACTGACGAAGAGCAGAGCATCCTCCAAATCTCCATGGACCATGCTTCGTCGGTGAGCGGCCGGCGGGTGAGCATTTGGCCTCAGGGTTGGTATGTACCACGCATCCGACACGATTCCTGAATCCTGAGGCATGCTTTCGCTTGAAACGTAAGGCACCCAACACGGTGTCGCCGCCGGCGCGCCGTGTGCAGCGAAAACCTCCCTTTCGTCGTACCTACTGAAGGAAACGGAATCCGTCCTGACATACCGACGGGTGTCTTGTAAATGTACTCCTATCCTATCTGCGTGGCGTGGGTCTCGCAGGAAACGCTGGTGGTGGTGGAAGTTGTTTGCACATATCAATCTCTGTCCCGTCGTCGTCGTGCGTGGACGGACGGCCTCCCTAGATTGGGTAACTAACTGAACAGCAACAAGAGCCCAGACCCGGCACCCTTGTCTGGATGGCTGCCAGGACGGCCGCGCGGGAGCCTTGCAAGCAATCGTTTGCTCGGCGCTCGTGAGTGTGCAGGAGTGGTTCGGAATTCAGCACCGGAAGCAACTGGCTTTGCTCAGACAGAAAAGAGTATCGTATGATACTACTACGTACATGTTCTAGACTAGAGAGGGCTTGTTGCCACGTTACCTATACCATCGGCAGGCAGCAGAAATACTCCGATTTCTTGTACTCCACAGCTGCTGAACCACTCCGGTAGAGTCCAATGGACGAGTACAGGAGTACCTGTATTGCTGCAGCAGCACGCACGGACGCGCGACTCGACTCTGTCAGGTTCAGGCGAGTAAGTTTGAATGCCATTCAGTCTCACTACTGAATAATCGTATTGTGATTTGTGAATGAAGGCTTTTGCGTTTTTTTTTTTTTGATAATGGGTGGCTTCTCGTTACTCTAGCTGATTGTTCATCAGCATTCAGCAACCTCCTCTCCGGCGTGGCTCCCAGCGCTGCCTTCTTCTCCCTGCGTAGTGCATAGCAGCTACAAAAGTAGGGGATACGACATGAGAGGAAAAAAAAAGAATAAGAGTTAAGTGACTGACATGTGGATCCAAAAAAGTGGAGACCCTATTCTAAGAGCTATTGCTGGAATTAAGTCTAGAAAATAAAACCCTAAAAAATAGAGACATGCCTTAAATCCTAGGTCTGTTTTTGTTGAACTATGGAAAAGCTGTTGTCGACCGTAAGTTATGGAAAAACTGAAAGCTATTTGATTGAAACAAGTATAAATTATACTTCCTATCTTTATCTCTCTTGAGGCAACTATGAAAGAGTTCTTTATACCACTCATTTTGAAAAACCGAAAGACACAAGTCAAAATCAAGGTCTAAGGTGCTTACAAAAATGTATTAGAAAAACAGTTGCTTCTGGAAAAAAGAACAGCCTCCACAAGCAGCCCCTTTCAATGGGCTTTTGATTTTTGAAAAAGAAAATCAGCCCCAAAAGACCAACCAAATAAAAGTCCCTAATTCTAGAAGCCATTGCTGCGTATGCTTCTCACCCGCAGCGTACTCGTAACAAGGAGGCCTCTGAGGAATGGCCGGGTGGGTGATTCGGTTCCTCGGGCCGGTGGGACCTAGCGGGCCGTCCCGCGTCCGCCGTCCGCAGCCTAGTCTCGGGCCGACGCCTCCCGCAACGGCATGCGCTGCTGACGCGCGGGCTTTTCGCGATGGAATCGCGGGCCGCGACGTGCGCGGCGACTGCGGGAAGCGGCTGCAATCATGGGCTCGCTCCCTTGAGAACAGCGAGACCTTCCAAGGCTGGGCTATAAAGGTGGGCAACGTCCCATGGTTCCCCTTTTGATCCAGGGCACGATCGGTGGCCCACACACGATGTACACCAGCTACTATCTTGACGTCTGTATTGACCTTGGGGCAAAAGATGCCATTTTGCTCACTAGTGAGGCTACTGTTCTTGGTTCTAGATGAGGAAAGTCTTTATTTCTCCCCTCTGAAACAGGAGGTGAACGGTGGTGATGGGAAACATTTGGGTGGGTGGCGATTATGAGAGCACCAAACGCACATAAGTGGGGGTAGTGTGGACAAATAAGTGGGGGTAGTGTGGACAAAATGATAGAAAACAACAGTAGCTAAGCCTGCAGTATATATTGCAGTAGTGTGACACAACAATACAAGTGTACAACAGTGTGGCATAGATAGATTAGATATGCCTCTGTTTCAGACCTTCATTTTTTTTGCGAATTACAGACACGCGCACACTCGTCCCTATAAACGCACGCACGTCCTCGAGACTGACGAAGTCACCACATGGTCATCGCTGTCACGAGAACATTGCCTACAACTGAAAGCACAACGTCGTTAAATACTGGAAATTTGCTCCTACGAGGAGTCGAACACAAGACTTAAGGTGGTACTGAAGCTCTTGTAACCACAACAGATAAAGTAGCACATATTACATTAATTATACCATATTATCTAGCTACCACTTTTGTGGTACGACCTTTGAGCTAGTTTGGCTGAAACTAACAGATGCCAGTACTGCGTCGGCAGGACATGAAATTTACCCAGGCAAGCTTTTTGCCTGTCCGAACTGTTCGTCAACAGTTAGTAGACTGCAACCAAACAAGCTGGCAGCAGTGACTCTCCGGCCGGGCATGCGGTGTTAAATCACACACGCGCACGTATGATTGATGCAGGCATGCATGGGTGCGGTGTTGGTTGCCTGTTGGCTACCAGCCAGCCGCTGAATCTTTCAGATACGCTACGTGCGTTGCCCTGTCCTCACCGGCCGGCTCACCCTGATCTGAATCGGTGAATCCCATCCCCTGGGATGGGCCAGCCACCACCCAGCCTCAATTGCAAGTTGCATGGAGTAGATAGATATAGGAGTGGCACTGGCACGCATGACATGATCACTCAGAGCTAGCTGCTCTGCACTGTGCTGTCGCCGCATGCAACTCCCAAAAAATTCACGGCACTCACCGCGTACGGCCGGCCGCAATGACCGACGCCGACCGGTGGTGGTGGCCTCAACGATGGGGCTCTGCGCTCTGCGGCGCGCGAACGGCGCGTCGTCTCGTGCATGTAGATTGTACAGTAGTAGTAGTAGTAGCTGTACTGATCTG